GTGCGTGCGTGCGTGCGTGCGTGCGTGCGTGCGTGCGTGCGTGCGTGCGTGCGTGCGTGCGTGCGTGCGTGCGTGCGTGCGTGCGTGCGTGCGTGCGTGCGTGCGTGCGTGCGTGCGTGCGTGCGTGCGTGCGTGCGTGCGTGCGTGCGTGCGTGTGTGTGTGTGTGTGTGTGTGTGTGTGTGTGTGGTTGGGGGGTGCCTACTGGGCGCAGCCTACGTAGTGCGTATACGGTGCAACAGGTTTGGTGCAACTAGTGTTGACTATCCATGAGTTGGGGTGCAACATATGGGGTGCAAGGCATCGGGCGCAGTCCCTAGGAAATGCCATGGCTTGCGGAACTTGGCCTCGCCAGCTCCAACGCTTGGATAAAACGTCACACTCACCAACCCACATTTCTTTGGCAATGCTTGACTGGCGCAGTGGCGCGAGGACCCTTGTCATGCAGATACATGACTTGGGCGGGCGAGCGATTCTGACGATGACGTCGGCGACAACGACGATCATCCTGATGGTGATGACGTTGTCGATGATGACGAAGGCGACGACAACGACGATGACGATAACGGCAACGATGACGATGACACTGACAATAACAATGACGACGATGACGACGACGAAAAGGAGGAGGGTGGTGAGACTGATGATGATCATGACGGCACGACGGCGGACGATTGTGATGGTGTTTACTGTGACTGATACTATGGCTGCGATGACAACGATGGTGATGGCGATAACGATGATAGTGATGCTACTGCTGCTGCTGCTGATGATGATGATGATGCTGCTGATGGTGCCGATGATGGTGATGAGTAGGCACACGCGCAACAGGTCACTCTGCCAGGCTGTTTGATTGGGGGGGGGGCACATTTTTGGCTTCAACGCATATCGAATGCCATGTTTAGAAACACGGGGTGTTGCAGTGATTTTGGCATGCGCGCACGAGGATGCGCGCAAGTGGCTCGCACAGTATTATTTGACAGACCTGGCGAGTGCGCGATGATCGTTGGCTGTTTTCGACATGCGCCCCGCGTTTGGCCTGCACAAAATCCAATGACATAATGACATAGTGCCACTGCTTCATGATGTCAGCGGGCAAGCGCACATACATGTTTTTCGGTTGGAGAAGTGATGTTGCAATAATCTCGATAGCTTCAAAACTGCTGGACCATATGCGCGAGCGAGTGTGGCCACTATCATACTTGTTGATACATTCTAATTGAACATGCGCTCGTAAGACCAAGCCGAGTGTCACGCATTGTGTTATTTGACTGGGGTGGGGGCGGGGCGATGCAGGCACTGGCTAGATGATCTGAACTTGTTTCCAGGATTGGCGATGTGCTGGACAAAACCGAAAAAGACACATACGCGGAGAGAAGTCGTCAACTCTGGCCTCGGCATAGGGATAGAGTCTAACACTCTTCAGAACACAGAGAATCTCTGTGGCACCAGCTACGCGGTGCGCGCCAGGGGCGCTCGCGAGGCGCCAACCAGGGACCAGCAGGCGAAAACCTGGAAAACCTAGCTCGCGAGCGGCTCGGGGGAAGGCGCCGGGGGAGCGGCGCGGCGGCCGCCGCGGAGGGAGGGCGGAGGAGAAAGAGGATCGGACAGACTGATGACTCCGTTGAGGGGCACGGCTAAGCCAAGCCCCCAAGAGATCCACGAACTACACTATATGGCTATCTCCTGGGCCCTGGCGGTCCGAGCCCGCCGACAAGGGCCCCCGTGCGGGGGTGGCGGGGGCCCTGGAAATTAGCGAGAGCTGTCATTCGGATACGGCTAGAGGCCCAGGTCACTTGACCCAGGCAGTCGCTCAGCAGCGTGGGCGACTGGCGAGTGGATGCTGATCCACCGCGTCGCAAACAATAAGCACACGGGCCCTCGGTGACCAAGTGGTGGCCACGGAAAAGCTCACACGGGGGCTCGGGGGCTTCCGAGGCCCGCAAGAACCTAGAGGAGCCCGGGCTGGCCACCGAGACCAGCTCCCCAGAGGGGACCCCCTTGTCGGACACCATAGGGTGGCCCCGCCCGCACGGCGCGCGGGATCGGCAGACCCTGGAATCCAAGGTCTCTCGGCCGTGGGTGGCCCCTCAATCACCTCTCCCGCAGAAGCTAAAAAGCGGTCCGCAGCTCGAAGGGCGACGCGGATGGCCTCCTCACGAGCGGAGGGGAGAAGGGCGGCTGAGGAAGAGTAGGGGAGATGAGCTCGAACCCGAGCCATCATGTCCTGCAACCGCGTGGGAGCACAAGCGCTGCTGGCGTCCGCGAGCGCCGACGCACCGAACCTCCTGCACCGCGCCGTGCCTCCGAGGCGGTCGAGGTCGTGGCGCGACCCGACCAACTGTACAGGCCTGGCCGTCGTCACTGGCCGAGCGCGGGGCGGCGCGAGCAAGCTGGCAGCTTCTGCGTGCTCGCCAGCTGCTGACATGGGCCAGGGCGCGGCCTTCGCCTCATTTTTAGCACCGCTGAGCTTCGCCTTGAACAGGTCTCGCAAGGTGTCTGGCAATCTGTGCAGGCGAGCTCCCACCTCGGCGAAGAAGTCAGCCCACGCGTCGCCGTGTAAATCCTCGGCGAACCGCTCGGGTTGGCCGAGGAACGTCTCGAGGTCGAGGTGCGCAGGGCACCAGCGCGCCGCAGGCCTGCAGCGCCTCGCCGCCGCATGCGTATCCGTGAGCGCGAAGATGGCCCTCCAGATGTCCACGCACTCGCTGCCCGAGGCCGCCTGGCCCTCGCTCTGGGCGTCGATCTCGCGCGCAAAAGCCGCCAAGTCAGTAGCCACGAAGCGGAGGCACGGCATGTGCAACAGGGCCTGGTGCAGCGTGCGGCGTTCAGCACGTCCGACTGTCCGGCGCGCACTTGGCAGTGCTCCAAATGCCGCGCGAAGCGGGGGGCCGTCACAGCTTAGTTACCTGCGCGCAGGCCCACCCACACCTCGTTAACTCTGGTCAAGCCGTCTCGTAGCCCGACCCGTCGTGGTACACGATGGTGGTCCTGGAGCTCTCGTCTGGGGACCAGTCGCCCCACCAATGGCAGTCCTGGACCCGCTCGGCAGCAGGGGCCTCATGGGGCATCTGCGGGATGCCCGTGATGACGTCGAACCTGTCGCAGTCCTGGTCGCCAGCCCCGATGTGGACCCTCTCCTTGAGCCCGGTGCGCACCTTGGCAGCCTGCTTAGAGATCGGCTCGATGCCCGAGGAGTCCCCCCGCGAGCCCGTCTCCAGGATGGTTGGGCACTCGTAGACATGGCGTCCACGAGTGCACGTGGGGGACCCCTCGCAGAAGGGGCAGTCAGGGCTGGCGAGATGCCCCAGCTGTCAGCGCTTGGCGGGGCCCCAGGCCGCGCCAGACCATAGCTCGCGCAGCTGCCCAGCCCGCGCGCCTCGCACAGCGGCGCCAGGGGGGGCGAGACACTTGCGGACGGCCCGCGTCCAAAGCAGTGCCGAGGAGGTCGGCGGGCGCTCCGAATGGCGGGCCAGGGTGCGCCGTTCCTACCAGTGCTGGATGCCCGCTCTCAACATGCGCCCGATGACCTTCGGCGGCACCGTCGAGATGTGGATCGCCTCCCAAGTCGGCGCAGAGGTGCAGGCTCGAACGCGTGCCCCAATCGATCCTGCGAAGGCTCAGCCACGTGGCGGCGAGGGGCCCGCAAGCGCCGTGCCAGCTCGGGGCCCCGCCTGCCAGCTGTCGGCCTGCGCCTGCCAAGCTCGTTGGAGATGGCCCAGGACGAGCTTGCCGCCCCAGGCGTGGGCGCAGTAGCGGGCCACAAGAGCGATCGTCACGTCGAAGACGGGATCCATGCACGGGCCCCGCTGGGTGGCCAGATAGATCGTGGTGGAGCCGCAGTTCCCCCCGCCCTTGCCAGAGCACAGCGATGCCGCCGAGTGCCGCAGCGACCTGAGCTGCTCATCCGCGGCCCCTGCAACCGCCGCCCCATGTCCTGCAGAGGGGGGCAGCCCCGTCCGCCACGGGACCTAGACGCGGTCTCCAGCAGCGCGGCGCAGCGCCAGCACGCGCGGCTGGCTATCCCCTAGCATGGGGAGGCGGCGCTTGGCTACCGTCCTCACCACTCCTCGCCCGTGGGCGCCGTGGCCCAGGTTGCGCGCGCCCCTCCGCTGGGGTAGCTGCAGGGCGCGGGCCGCCCTCGAGAATCCACGAACTGCGGCGCTAGTGGTGCCGAGCCAGCCCGACATGTCGAGCTTGATGGCCATGCCGAGCGGCTCCGCATCCTCCATGAAGCCCAGAAAGGCAGCCTTGAGCGCACGGGCGCTAGCTTGAACATGCTGTCCAGTCCACTGCATAGTGAGGTGGTCCATCAGTGCACGTGGCGGAAGAACCTCATCGGACATGCTCCGGAGCTTCGTGCTGAAGCGAAACAGGAGCACCGTGAGCAATCCTGTGCAGTGCGCGCAGCCCGCCAAGATGCTCTGGCTAACGCACACCTGTCGCGACCAACAGCCATCTGCCCGAATGGTCCTAGGCATCCTGAAGTAGGCGAGCAGCTGCCAGGCCAATCTCAATGGGAAGTCACACGCCCGAGCCTCCTGGAGCAGGGCGCCAAGCGGCACGCTATCGAAGGCCTCGTGCAAGTCCAGGATAAACGTCAGGCTGGACTGGCCCAGGGGGCGCGCAATCTGGGCATCCCAGTTGTGGCTGAACGCGGAGTCAATGGACGAGCGCCCTTTCGATAACCCGAAGATGGAGGAGTGCCTGTGCTGCTTGATCCAGTCTCTGGACAGCGGGCGTCGGGCGCGAGCCCAGAGGTGGACTAAAGCCGAGACCAGGGCGATGAGCTTCGAGCCGCCGTCCTCCTTGGGGATCCTGACCATCACGTTGACGATGCGGTCCGACGGCCAGGAGAGGAGGTCCTTGCACCTCATAAAGAGCGCTGCCAAGGTGTCGAACGCCTGGCTGGACATGTGCCAGAGGTCACGCGGATGCATCTTGCCATGCCCTGCAGCCGTCTTCTTGCGGAAGGCGAGGGTGGCATCGCGGATCTGCTGCCCATCCAGCGACGGCAACGCCGGCCACAGGTGAGCATCACTTGGCAGGGGAAGCCATCGGGCATCACCACTGGTCCAGATGGCCTCCCACTCGTCCATGGCCAGGTCAGCCCTCGCGTAGGGGTCCAGCATGCTCTCGTTCTGCCCGAAGGAGCTCATGAGCTCGAGCCTGTCCTGGACCTTGGTTGCACGGTGGGCGCCACCAGCGCCGTTCTCGAACGCCTCTTGGACACATGCCCGCCACCGAGCCAAGGTAACCCGAGCATGAATGGCGAGGTGGTCCTTGTAGACTGTCACCATTTGCGCCATCAAGACCTGCAGGTTGGGTTCGACCAGCAGCAGGATGCCCTGGGCGAAGAGGTCGCACACCTGGATGGTAGCGTACTCCCATACGTGTTTGGCCTTGGCAGTGCGCTGGAAGACTCTGCAGAGCTCTGCGAAGTTCTTGGCCGTGCCCGCAGCGCGTGGGATGGGATCCTTCACGTAGAGATGCGTCAACCTGGCCAGATGCGTTCGCGACCGCAGCACATGCTTGGCCCAGCGCGCCAAGGAGGCCCAGGCGTGCACCTGGGGAGGGGGCCGTACGCGACGGTGTGGCGGCTCCCATCGCAGCCGTACCCATGCCGTCTCAGGCGGCCCAACGCGGCCTTCATGCCGTCGACGGGTCTTGTCGTCCATGATGTCGGCTCGGTTCGGCAGCTCAGCCTCCAAACTTCGGAGCACCTTGTCCCAACAGCACTGGAGGGCATCGTCGTCGCAGGCCGCCGCGATCATGGAGTCGACGTGCTTCCAGTGGTCCGCCAGCGGTGGGCGGGCACAGCCTGGCTTGATGACGTAGCTAGCTGGCTCGCGCGGCACCCTCATCCACAGCGCGCGATCGTCAACGAGGAGTGGGAACTTCACCGCTGCGTGCACCGGTAGTGGCGAGGCTTCATCGACCTGCGGCGGGAGCATCCTGGGCAAAAGGTTCCGACAGTAAACGCCGTAATCCAGCACAGAGCCAGGGAGGCACTTGGTGCAGGTGGGGCGGAGGGCGCCGCCACGAAGCCTTGCGCAGGAGCCAACCACCTCTGGTCCAAGGCCTCGGGCGGCATGTTCCAGTCCCCGAGCACGATCCAGTCCAGGCCCTCCGCAATCACATGGCCAACGTAGGACGCCAATACCTGCAGGAGGTGCTGGTTCTGAGGGTCCATGCCGACGCTGGTGATGAAGTAGGCGGATATGACCACCACTCCACCAGGTGGCCCCCAATACACATGTGCTGCAGCAAGCCGTCTCGCACTGGGAACCCTGCGCTTGCCCTCGCACCAGCCGCCAGGTGGCGCGGGGCCCGCAGCAACTGCGACGTGAGTGGGCACCAACACAGCCACTCCTCCCGTGGTGCCCCCATTCCCCGTCGGGAAGGCAGGGGCTACGACCCCGTGATAGCCCAGGTCGCGAAGATCGCGCTCGGCACGTGGGACGTCTGCCTCAGCCAGGTGGTGCTCCTGCGCCGCGGTGGCCTTGCAGCTTCCGTCCAGCAACGGAGGAGGAGGAGGAGGAGGAGGAGGAGGTGGAGGAGGAGGAGGAGGAGGAGGAGGAGGAGCACACAAGGCGCCCACGGGCGCCCAACAAACGAAGACGCGAAACACTCAACCAGCGCCTTGGGCGCACGCGAGGCGACGACGGGCGGCAACCAGGCGACAGGCCCAGAACATCTAGCCCGCGCGCGGAAGACCCAGCAATGCGCACGGAGCGCCCACCAAAGGCGCCCGCGGGCGCCCTTGAGGCGAAATCTCGGGAGCCCAATCCCAGACGCTTAGAACGCGAGTAGGATCCCCTAAGTGCAAGCAGTGTTTGGGGAAGACTGTCCGGCAGAAGGGAAGTCGAACAAGCGGCAAACGACATGAACAACCAAAGATGTTGAACACGTGCCAGAGCAATGTGCGATAAACAATGCCTATACGGAAACCAGGCTCGGTGAGACAGGGACTCCTTTTGTTCCCCTTCCTGATCCTCCTCCTCCCTCCCCCAAGCCGCATGACGTTCAGTCCTTCTATTCGGTATGAGCGATCATGCCTCCGAGCTTCCAGCTGCCGCTGGGCCCACTCGATGGAGCTACCGCTGTTGAAGAGCTTCCCTCCTCCTCCACTCCTCCTCCTCCACTCCTCCTCCTGCTCCTCCTGCTCCTCCTGCTCCTCCTGCACCTGCTCCTCCTGCTCCTCCTCCACCTGCTACCGCCTCCCGTCCTCCTCCACCTGCTCCTCCACCTGCTCCTCCTCCTCCTCCTCCTCCTCCTCCTATATCTGTTACCGCTTCTTGTCCTCCAGCAGCTCGCCTTTGTAGCAATCATCCTCGCCTTCCTCCTCTGCACCCCCCACTCCGTCTCCCCCTCGTCCTTGCACCCCCTCTCTTCTTCCTCCTCCTCCTCCTCCTCCTCCTCCTCCTCCTCCTCCACCGACTCTTCCCTCCTCCTCCTCCTCCTCCACCTGCTCCTCATCCTCCCCTTCTTCGTCCTCCTCCTCCTCCGCCTCCGTCCTCCTCCTCCTCCTCCCCTCCTCCCTTCTCCTCGTCTTCCAGCTCCTCCTCTGGTCTCCTCCTCCTTCCTCCTCCTCCTCCTCCTCCTCCTCCTCCTCCTCCTCCTCCATCCTCCTCCTCCTCCTCCGTTCTCCTCTCTCATCTCTCCTCTCTCCCCTCCCCTCTCCCCCTCCCCTCTCCTGTCCTCTCCTCTCCTCTCCTCCCCTCGCCTCTCCTCTCCTCTCCTCTCCTCTCCTCTCCTCTCCTCTCCTCTTCTCTCCTCCCTGCTTCCGCCCCGCCCACCGGTTCGCAACCCGCCCCAGCCGGTGACGGGCGGCTCAGCCCCAGCCGGTGACGAGCTCGCGGCACACCTGCCCAGCGGAGGACGCGCAGGGGGGGGAGGCAACCGCCGCAGGGCGTTGGAGGAGGCAACCGCGCGCGTCCCCCCCGCGGGTGCTTCTTGACGCGGGGGAGAACGCACCACTGACCCGCCCAAGCGACCCGCCACCCCGCCGACCCGCCGCCAGGCGACACCCGCACCCGCGGCCCCCGGATCCACGCCCTCGGGCCCACGGACCGCGATGGCCATGGACCCAATTAGCCCCCCCCCCCCCCGGCGCGGGCGAGGATGACACGCAGGGAGCGGGCGAGGAGGACGAGGGAAGAGGAGGAGGAGGCGGAGGGGGAGGAGGAGGATGATGATGATGAGGAGGAGGAGGAGGAGGAGGAGGAGGAGGAGGAGGAGGAGGAGGAGGAGAGAGAGGAGGAGGGAGGGAGGAGGAGGAGGAGGAGGAGGAGGAGGAGGAGGAGGAGGAAAAGGAGGAGGAGGAGGCGAGGCGAGGCGAGGCGCGCGTGTCCGCCGGCCGGTGGCTGGCGGGGCCCGGGGGGCCGGCGCGGGCGGGCCGGGGCCCGTGGTAGTTAGACGTTGGAGTAGGCAATGAAGTCGTTCTCCAGCGACTGCCAAAATTCAGTGTCTGCTGCAAGTCCCACCACATTTGTTGTGATATCCCCGGCAGTAGCGTAGTGTATGAATCGTGTCATGTCGTCGCTCCAGCGTTTTCGCTGTCCACCATGTCTGCGGCAAGCTTGACGTGGGTCATGGGCGTCGGTCGGGGTTCCAGGCTGAAGCGAGCCAAGTCCATCTCTGGCGGGACTGCGTTGCTATGCGTCCTGCCCACCGCCATTTCCGCTTGTGGTACAACGTCGTCCAATCTTCCAAATGAGAGCGCGTTGCCCGATCCATAGCTGCATGGGTCGCTCTGCGTATGTACTCGTCCCACGGTTCGAGGTCAGAGTCGTCGTCGGCGTCGTCGAAGTTGAGATGCCGCTGGATGTCGTTGGAGTTTGTTTGTGGTCCGTCGTCGGGCTGCTCTGTGTCGGAGCTGGTCCCGTCGTCGCGTGGTGTAGTCTGGTTGTTCACTCGTCGTCTGGGGGTGTTCACGATGAGACGTAACATGCGTCGCTGGGTGCGTCTCAGTGCTAAGAGCATGTCCTTGGTGAGCGTCCACGAGGTGCAGCCATACATGACAGTAGGCGTCACCGTACCATTGAAAAGTCTTAGCCTGCTATGGAGAGGATATCGGCTGCTTGTTAGTTCGTCGTGGAATTTGTTGAACGCGCCCCATCCCATTGCAATTCGGTTGGAAAGCTCAGATTGGTGGTAGTCGTGGAAGGTCAGCTTCCGTCCCAAATACTTGGTGGTCTCTCCGGCTCTGAGGATTGCAATCACGTCGCCGTCGATGTCGGCATGACTCGTCGTTTGCCCGTGCCCCCTGCTGACGTTCGTAAGGATTTTGGTCTTGCCAGGGTGCAACTCAAGCCCGCACTTCGCAGCTGTGCGTTTGAGGTCATGCAGAATGCACTTGAGTTGGCGCAGATTTGTCGCGAGCAATAAGACATCATCAGCAAATCGTAGATTAGTAAGAAGCGTGAGCTTTGTGTGCCCCAGCTGTATACCAAATCCCTTTCTTTCCCAAGTTGGTTTGCACTGACGGAACACGTACTCCAGCAGGGCGTTGAAGAGGTAAGAGCTGAGTGGGTCGCCTTGTTTGACACCGCGTTCTATGCTGAAGCTCCTGCTGCTGACGTCTGTCTTCACAGTGGCCACCTGCCCGCTGTAGAACTTCCGTAGTAGGGTGATGTACGGTGTCGGCACGTTCTGCTCCTGCAAAGCTGTCCAAAGGCAATCGTGGTCCACGCAGTCGAACGCCTTTTTGAAGTCGACTGCGGCTGCCCATAAATTTAACTGCCACTCGTAGGAGTTCTCGTGCAGCATAGTTGTGGTGAAAAGGTGGTCCTCTGTGCAGAAGCCCTTGCGGAAGCCAGCTTGGTCGGGTGACTGTTGTGAGTCGAAGAGCGCCGCAAGCCGATTGCATAGCAGTCGAGACATCAATTTGTACAGCAGTGGTATGATGGCGATTGGCCTGTAGTTGCTGGGCAAATGCGGGTCGCCGGACTTGAAAATGACACTGATCGTGGTGCGCCTCCATTGCTCGGGAGGTGTTTGGTGAGGCGCGAGAATGTCGTTGAAGAGCTTGAGTAAGTGCTGCACGATCGTCTCCCCCCCTGCTTTCAAGAGCTCTGCAGTGAGGCCAGCCGTGTCTCTGCACCCGCCGTTTTTGAGGTGTCTCACTGCTTGGTTTAGTTCGTCGTTGGTGAAAGGTGGGATGGCTTGGTGGGCGGTGTCGGTCGCCTCGTCGTTTGTGGTCCTGTCGGCATTGGTGGAGCGCCGGAACAAGTCCTCTTAGAAATCAGCGAAAACGTCTGCTATCCCTTTCCGGTCTGTTTCATTTTTGCCGTCCACGGTCGTCATGGAGTGGATGAGATCCTTCTTCTTACTAGATTTGATCCCGGATATCTTGCTGAGGCCACGGAACTTCATTATGATGTCGTTGAGTGCCGCTTGTCTTTGAGTCCTCTTGATGGCCCGGTGCTGCCGTAGGATACGCTTGCTGAGAGTTGTTCTAGTGATCGTGTCGGTGTGTGGTGTGTTTCTGCGCTGGGTAAGAAGTGTTTGTAGTAGTCGTGAGGCCTCATCGTCTCCGCGCGTTGTGAGTGGCTGTTGCTGTGGTTCGTGCTCTTGCTGTCGTTGGTGGTCTTCGTGCGCTGCTCTGAGTGCTCGTTCAGTGAGCGTGCAGGCTTCTTGCAGGTCACTTGGTGGGCTGTTGCTGGCGAGGTGCTTTTCCAAGTGGCGTTGAAAGTCGAAGTCATTGGGTCGTGGTGGCTGCTGATGCGGATGCTTGCGTCGTCGTCGTCTCTGTCGCCGTGGTCGGTGTCCTGTGTTTTCCAATGCTAGTCGGAGGTGTACGGCTTGATGATCAGAGTTGAGGTCAGGGCACGTCGTAGCAAATGAGTCTGAAACCAAATGCCGGGCCCGTTGATCCACCAGGATGTAGTCGATTTGCGATTCTGCTCGTTTGCCGCCTGCAGGTGTGTATGTGAACACGTTTTCGTGGTGCTTGTAGAACATGGTGTTCGCTATGCAGAACTTACGCACGCAGGCCCATGATCTTAGCCACATGCCGCGTTGGTTACTGCCGTGCAGCCCGTGGTTTCCGAGAACGCGTTTTTCCACATCGCTCATGTCGACGTTGTCGTCAAGTCGCCTGCCAACCTGTGCATTGAAATCGCCCGTCAGCACTGTCGTTCGCTTGTGTCGCTGAGCATCGGCATGGATCTCGGAAAGTGTGTCATACATGGCCTGTATGTGGTGGTCGCTGTAACCTCCATGAGGGTAATATGCTGTGATGAGCCGGAGTGGGAATTTAGGTAAGTCGATGTCAATGTAGGCGATCCGTTCGTTGATGGCTATGAATCTCCGGATGCGTCTCGTGTGCCGCTCGT